AAATGGAATTATTACAACCAATCCCTCAGAGATACAAACAATTATCAGGGAATACTATGAAAAATTATATGCCAACAAATTGGACAACCTGGAAGAAATGGACAAATTCCTGAACACCCACACTCTTCCAAAACTCAATCAGGAGGAAATAGAAAGCTTGAACAGACCCATAACCAGCGAAGAAATTGAATCGGTTATCAAAAATCTCCCAACAAATAAGAGTCCAGGACCAGATGGCTTCCCAGGGGAGTTCTACCAGACGTTTAAAGCAGAGATAATACCTATCCTTCTCAAGCTATTCCAAGAAATAGAAAGGGAAGGAAAACTTCCAGACTCATTCTATGAAGCCAGTATTACTTTGATTCCTAAACCAGACAGAGACCCAGTAAAAAAAGAGAACTACAGGCCAATATCCCTGATGAATATGGATGCCAAAATTCTCAATAAGATACTAGCAAATCGAATTCAACGGCATATAAAAAGAATTATTCACCATGATCAAGTGGGATTCATTCCTGGGATGCAGGGCTGGTTCAACATTCGCAAATCAATCAACGTGATACATCACATTAACAAAAAAAAAGAGAAGAACCATATGATCCTGTCAATCGATGCAGAAAAGGCCTTGACAAAATCCAGCACCCTTTCTTAATAAAAACCCTTGAGAAAGTCGGGATAGAAGGAACATACTTAAAGATCATAAAAGCCATTTATGAAAAGCCCACAGCTAACATCATCCTCAACGGGGAAAAACTGAGAGCTTTTTCCCTGAGATCAGGAACACGACAGGGATGCCCACTCTCACCGCTGTTGTTTAACATAGTGCTGGAAGTTCTAGCATCAGCAATCAGACAACAAAAGGAAATCAAAGGCATCAAAATTGGCAAAGATGAAGTCAAGCTTTCGCTTTTTGCAGATGACATGATATTATACATGGAAAATCCGACAGACTCCACCAAAAGTCTGCTAGAACTGATACATGAATTCAGCAAAGTTGCAGGATACAAAATCAATGTACAGAAATCAGTTGCATTCTTATACACTAACAATGAAGTAACAGAAAGACAAATAAGGAAACTGATCCCATTCACAATTGCACCAAGAAGCATAAAATACCTAGGAATAAATCTAACCAAAGATGTAAAGGATCTGTATGCTGAAAACTATAGAAAGCTTATGAAGGTAATTGAAGAAGATTTAAAGAAATGGAAAGACATTCCCTGCTCATGGATTGGAAGAATAAATATTGTCAAAATGTCAATACTACCCAAAGCTATCTACACATTCAATGCAATCCCAATCAAAATTGCACCAGCATTCTTCTCGAAACTAGAACAAGCAATCCTAAAATTCATATGGAACCACAAAAGGCCCCGAATAGCCAAAGTAATTTTGAAGAAGAAGACCAAAGCAGGAGGCATCACCATCCCAGACTTTAGCCTCTACTACAAAGCTGTCATCATCAAGACAGCATGGTATTGGCACAAAAACAGACACATAGACCAATGGAATAGAATAGAAACCCCAGAACTAGACCCACAAACGTATGGCCAACTCATCTTTGACAAAGCAGGAAAGAACATCCAATGGAAAAAAGACAGTCTCTTTAACAAATGGTGCTGGGAGAACTGGACAGCAACATGCAGAAGGTTGAAACTAGACCACTTTCTCACACCATTCACAAAAATAAACTCAAAATGGATAAAGGACCTGAATATAAGACAGGAAACCATCAAAACCTTAGAGGAGAAAGCAGGAAAAGACCTCTCTGACCTCAGCCGTAGCAATCTCTTACTCGACACATCCCCAAAGGCAAGGGAATTAAAAGCAAAAGTGAATTACTGGGACCTTATGAAGATAAAAAGCTTCTGCACAGCAAAGGAAACAACCAACAAAACTAAAAGGCAACCAACGGAATGGGAAAAGATATTTGCAAATGACATATCGGACAAAGGGCTAGTATCCAAAATCTATAAAGAGCTCACCAAACTCCACACCCGAAAAGCAAATAACCCAGTGAAGAAATGGGCAGAAAACATGAATAGACACTTCTCTAAAGAAGACATCCGGATGGCCAACAGGCACATGAAAAGATGTTCAGCGTCGCTCCTTATCAGGGAAATACAAATCAAAACCACACTCAGGTATCACCTCACGCCAGTCAGAGTGGCCAAAATGAACAAATCAGGAGACTATAGATGCTGGAGAGGATGTGGAGAAACGGGAACCCTCTTGCACTGTTGGTGGGAATGCAAATTGGTGCAGCCGCTCTGGAAAGCAGTGTGGAGGTTCCTCAGAAAATTAAAAATAGACCTACCCTATGACCCAGCAATAGCACTGCTAGGAATTTATCCAAGGGACACAGGAGTACTGATGCATAGGGGCACTTGTACCCCAATGTTCATAGCAGCACTCTCAACAATAGCCAAATTATGGAAAGAGCCTAAATGTCCATCAACTGATGAATGGATAAAGAAATTGTGGTTTATATACACTATGGAATACTACGTGGCAATGAGAAAAAATGAAATATGGCCTTTTGTAGCAACGTGGATGGAACTGGAGAGTGTGATGCTAAGTGAAATAAGCCATACAGAGAAAGACAGATACCATATGGTTTCACTCTTATGTGGATCCTGAGAAACTCAACAGGAACCCATGGGGGAGGGGAAGGAAAAAAAAAATAGAGGTTAGAGTGGGAGAGAGCCAAAGCATAAGAGACTGTTGAGAACTGAGAACAAACTAAGGGTTGATGGGGGGTGGGAGGGAGGAGAGGGTGGGTGATGGGTATTGAGGAGGGCACCTTTTGGGATGAGCACTGGGTGTTGTATGGAAACCAATTTGACAATAAATTTCATATATAAATAAAAAAAAAGAAGATGTGGTATATGTATACAAGGGAATACTATTCGGTGATCAAAAAGAATGAAATCTTGCCATTTGCAATAATGTGGATGGAACTAGAATGTATTATGCTAAGTGAAATAAGTCAAAGAAAGACAAATATATGATTTTACTCATATGTGGAACTTGAGAAATTTAACAGAAGACCATGGGGGAAGGGAAGAGGAAAAATAGTTACAAACAGAGAGGGAGGCAAACCGTGAGGAACTCTAAATGCAAAGAACAAACTGAGGGTTGCTGGGGGGACACAGGGTCGGGGAGGGATGGTTGATGGGTATTGAGGAAAGCACTTGTTGGGAGGAGCACTGGGTGTTGTATGTGAGTGATGAATCACAGGAATCTACCCCCAGAGCCAAGAGCACACTGTATACACTGTATGTTAGCTAATTTGACAATAAATTATATTAAAAAACAAACAAAAACCCAAAATGATATAGGAATAGTGAAACAGCTGTCAATACACTTCTTCTGCAGGAGGAAAGTTAGCCGTAGTTCTTGCAGCAGTCCACACAACCATACAGGAGCTAGTTTCTCTGTCTCCCCAGGTATCAGCTCATGTGTGAAAAAAATAAGACTCACATTGAGTTAAGAATCATCCTGGTTTTCAAAACTCATGCCCCTCCAAAGCATATACCTCCTGTTAGAGATGTCACTTTTTTGCTCCAGATAGTGAAAAATTGTTTTTCTCTTTTTTTTCCCTTAATAAGTCTTGCTAGAAGAGTCATTGTTTTATTAAACTTCTGGCTTTGTTTATTTTCTCTATTATGTGTCTGTTTTCTCTTCACTGATTATTGCTCTTTATCATTGCCTTTCTTCTATTTTTCTTTAGATTTAATTGGCTTTCTTTCTCCTTTTCTGAATGTGGAATTGTAGACTTCACTTTCTTCTCTTAAAACAGGTATGTTTAAAGCTTTACATTTTCCTCCTAAACTATGCTTAAATGTGTCTCCCAAATTTCGAAATTGTTTTTATTATTAAACTTAAAATAGTTTCTACTTTCACTGTGAGTTCTTCTTTGAACTAGTGGTCATTTGCAATATGTTGCTTAATTTTGAAATGTTTATACTTTTTATTTTTTTTAAGTTTGAATTAAATTCCAGTTGACTAACATACAGTGTAATATTAGTTTCACCTGTACAATATGGTGATGCTGCACTTCCATACAACACCAGTCCTCAACATAAGTGTGCACCTTAATCCCCATCATCTGTTTCACCCATCCCTACACCACCTCCCCACTGGTAACCATCATTTTGTTGTCTATAGTTAAGAGTCTGTTTCTTGGGTTTTTTTTCCCTCTCTCTCCCCACCTTTACTCTTTTGTTTTGTCTCTTAAATTTCATATATGAGTGACACCATATGGTATTTGTCTCTCTCTGACTTTCACTTAGTATAATAGTCTCTCACTCCATCCATGTCACTGCAGATGGGAAAATGTCATTCTTTTTTACAGTTGAGTAATATTCCACTGTGTATGTAGACAACAACTTCTTTATCCATTCATCAGTTCCTGAACACTCGGGCTGTTTCCATAATTTGACTCTTGGAAATAATGTTGCTGTAAGCATTGAAGTTCATGTATCCCTTTGAATTAGTATTTTTGTGTGCTTTTATATTTCCTTAAGCAGTCCACTATATTTTTTTCAAGTTTTTATTTAAATTCTAGTTAGTTAACATAGAGTGTTATATTAGTTTCAGGAGTAGAATTAAAAAGTTGTCTCATTGTCATTGATTTGTAGCTTAATTTCACACACAGACAGGCTGGAAACATATCAACAAAATCAGCCGGTGTATGTTCATATATAATGACTCTCTCTCTACTGGAATGTGACTGATGTCCTATGCTGTCATCTACTGACAACTGATGGGAATGCTAGCATATTTTTTTATTATTGGAGTAAAATTTGTAAAGAACATAAGTTTCAGGTGTACAGCATTAAAATTCAATACCTGTATACACTACAAAGTGATCACCACAAAAAGTCTAGTTACCATCTATTACCATAAATATACCCCCTTTACCCATTTTGCCCACCCTCAACACAGTTCCCCTCTGGTAATCATCAAGCAGTTCTCTGTATCTGAGTTTGTTTTTATATTATTTGTCTTTTATTTGGGTTTTTTTTAGATTCCATACATTAATGAAATCATGTGGTATTTGTCCTCCATCTGACTTATTTCACTTAGTTTAATACCCTCAAGGCCCATCCGTTTATACAGAATGAACTTCTTATGCTGCCATTCTGAACCCCTCTCCCTGGAGTGCAAACATTTCTTAAATGATTTCAAGTAATCAACTTTTTAAAAAACTTAAGCCAAGAGACTACGAACAAAACTTTTTTGAGTGACTAAGACTGCTTTCAGACTGAATAAAACCCCTAATATGCTGATGTTATATGAAAAAAATTCTTTTACTGAAAAGAGTGAAAAACTATTATTTTTGTTATCTGATGTAAACTTACACTTGATCCCTAGGATACAAAGATCTATGGGAACTTTAAAAACTAATTGGCTGGTTCTGCCCTGCAGCCAGGCTGCAGGCCTGTGAGGCTCCTCACTGCTGCAGGTAAGATTTACTTGAGATTTATGTAAGTAGGGGGCTCCTGTTCTGATGTAGGTGGAGTGGTTGAGCTGGAGACTTGAGAGCATGGCTCCCAACGAGGCTGTCTGCTGCCCAAGAAGAGTCGTGGTGGGAGCTGGTGTGTGAAATCCAACATGGTGGAGAAGTAGGGGGACTTGAAGTTCCCTCGTCCCTCAAACACAGCAGTCTAGAGGCCAGAGGACTTTGACTTCCAAGAGTCTGGGCTGCAGAGTGACAGAGATGTCTCCAGGGGCCGATGGGGGCAACCTGGTAGGCTATATGTGCATGATTGTGAACTCAGAAAGATAAAATGGGTGGTGTAAGCACAGAGGGGAGGGATCCCCCTTCTGCAGAGAGGCAAAGGGAAGAGAAAGAGAGGCTGTGGAAGTGCAGGACTGTGTTTATACAAGAGAAAAACCATGGACAGGGGGTCAGAAAAACAACGGAGAAAGATCCAATCTCTAACTGTGGGGCTTTCTCTGGACTGGGGCTGGCTGTCCAGTTTGCACACCTGGGGAGGAGGGGAGCCTGCCCCAGGCTCAGTAACTGGTTCAGAAGTGCAGTTTACAGTGGGAGAAAGCAACCCCCTCCCTTGAGTGCCGTGGGAAGAAGGTATATAACCATTCAAAGGACAAAGGACCATGCCTGTGCCCACCAGTAAGGGGCCATTTATTGGCAGGGTGGAGTGGCACTTCCCTGGAATCGGGGTGCGTGGAGCAGGATCCTTTAGAACATCTGGGTTTGAATCCCAGATGAGCTCCAGGGAGGTGCGGGAGACTGTGGAGCCAAAGAACAAAACAAAACAAACAAACAAACAAACAAACAAACAAACAAAAAAATGGGCCTATTTGTGCTTGCACAGCACTGGAGGGCTGCCTGACCAGAGTTCAGGACAGAGTTCAGGATTGGGTTTGGGACACCCAATCTGGGGAGGAGAGACTGGGTGTCACCATTTTTCTCCCCATCATCAACAAAGTGGTGCTTCAGGGAATGGACAGCAGACCCACGGTGGAGGCAGGACCTGCCTACACCAAACCACTCCCTTCAGCACCTGTTAAGTGGATAGCTACCTGATGCTGACCAACCAGACAGCCCCTCGTCCAGACCAGCACTGCCACCGGTTCCAAGGCCCCAAGTGTTTTTGCATTTTCTAATTTAATTTGGGTATATATATATATATATATTTTTTTTCTTACTTTTATCCTTTGTATTTCTTCCCTCCTCCAGTCTGGTTATTCTGGTTGTTGGTTTGTTTAAGCAGACATATTTAATCTATTCTCTTTATACCTATTCTATATCTCCTTCTTTCCTTTCCCCCCTCTCTCTCTGGATTAAGCCATATGGTTTCTCCGCCTAGTCAATTTTCTTTTCCTTTCTTTTTCCCTACCCTTGTCATTTCTCTCTTTGTATGGGATGAGGCCTCTTCCACCAACACTTCACTCCCTCCCCCATTTTTTTTTGGTTTGTTTACGCGGTTTTTTTGTTTTTAATTTTTTTTCCAGGGCTACTTCAACGAACAAATCAAAGCACACCTTGTAGAGGGCCCAAAACATCACTACGAATAGGGAGAAAAAGCAACCAGAGTTCAAACAAGAGAGAGCACATAACACATTCCAAAAACATCTCCTGAAGGGCCAGGTCCTTGACAGTGTATGACCCCTCTTTAATATAGTAGTGCTCGCACATAACAAGCTTTTAAAACACATAAGGGACAGAAAACTAACCAAAATGATGAAACAGAAGAATTCTCCTCAAAAGAAATTCCAAGAAGAAATGACAGCTAAAGAATTGATCAAAACAGATATAAACAATATATCTGTTCAAGAATTTAGAATAATAGTCATAAGATTAATCATTGGGCTTGAAAAAAACATAGAAGACAACAGAGAATCTATTCCTGCAGAGATCAAGAAACCATGAATTAAAAAATGTTGTAAATGAGGTGCAAAATAAACTAGATGTGGTGGCAGCAAGGATTGAAGAGGCAGAGGGGGATAATAAGTGAAATAGAAGATAAAACTATGGAAAAAGGTGAAGCTGGGAAAAGAGACAAAAAAATTCTAGAGCATGAGGAGAGACTTAGAGAACTAAGTGATTCAATGAAACATAATAATATCTGTATCATAGGAGTCCCAGAAGAAGAAGGAGAGAAAGGGGTGGAAAGTGTACTTGAACAAATCATAGCTGAGAACTTCCCCAATCTGGGGAAAGAAACAGACATTGAAATCCAGGAGGCAGAGAGAACTCCCTTCAGACATAACAAGAATCGATTTTCTGCATGGCATGTCATAGTGAAACTGACAAAATACAAAGGTAAAGAGAGAATTCTGAAAGCAGCTAGGGACAAATGGGCCTTAACCTACATGGGTAGACACATAAGGGTAGTAGCAGACCTATCTTCTGAAACTCAGCAGGCCAGAAGGGAGTGGCATGAAATATTCAATATGCTGAATAGGAAAATATGCAGCCAAGAATCCTTTATCCATCAAGCCTGTCATTCAGAATAGAAGGAGAGATAAAGGTTTTTCCAGACAAACAAAAACTGAAGGAGCTCATCACCACTAAATCAGCCCTACAAGAGATCCTAAGGGGGACTCTGTGAGTGGAATGTTGCAAAGACCACAAAGGGACAGAGACATCACTACAAGCATGAAACCTACAGATAACACAATGAAACTAAATCCATATCTTTCAATAATAACGCTGAATGTAAATGGACTAAATGTTCCAATCAAAAGACTTAGGGTATCAGAATGGATTAAAAAACAAGACCCATCTATTTGCTTTCTACAAGAGACCCATTTTAGACCTGAGAACACCTTTACACTGAAAGTTAGGGGATGAAGAATCATCTATAATGCTACTGGAAGTCAAAAGAAAGCTGGAGTAGCCATACTTATATCAGACAAACTAGATTTTAAAGTAAAGACTGTAACAAAAGATGAAGAAGGACATTATATCATAATTATGGGGTCTATCCATCAAGAACTAAACGATAAATGATTATGCATCCAATTTGAAAGCACCCAAATATATAAAACAATTACAAACATAAGCAATCTTATTGATAAGAACACAGTAATTTCAGGTGACTTTAATACTTCACTTACAACAATGGACAGATCATCTAGGCAGAAATATTAATAAACAATGGCCCTGAATGGACCAGATGTAGTTGACAGATATATGCAGAACTTTTCATCCAAAAGCAGCAAAATACACATTCTTCTAGAGTGCACATGGAACATTCTCCAACATAGATCACATACTGGGTCACAAAACAGCCCTCAATAAATATAAAAAACTGAGATCATACCACGCACATTTGCAGATCACAATGCTATGAAACTTGAAATCAACCACACAAAAATACTTGGAAAACCTCCAAATGCATGGAGGTTGAAGAAGATCCTACTAAAGCATGAATGGGTCAACCAGGCAATTAAATAAGAAATTAAAAAGTATATGGAAAAATATGAAAATGAAAGCATGACAGTCCAAACCCCTTGGAATGCAGCAAAGGCAGTTCTAAGAGGAAAATACATTGCAACCCAGGCCTATCTCAAAAACAAGAAAAATCCCAAATATAAACTCTAATAGCACACCTAAAGGAACTAGAAGCAGAGCAGCAAAGGAGCCCCAAGAACAGCAGAAGAGAAATAATAAGGATTAGAGCAGAAATAAACAATATAGAATCCTCCCCACCAAAAAACCACAAAAAACAAACAAACAAAAACAGTAGTACAGATCATTGAAACTAAGAGCTGTTTTTTAAAAAAAAATCAACAAAATTGATAAACACCTGGCCAGACTTCTCAAAAAGAAAAGAAAGAGTACCCAAATAGATAAATCACAAATGAAAATGGATTTATTACAACCAATCCCTCAGAAATACAAGCAATTATCAGGGAATGCTGTGAAAAATTATATGCAAACAAACTGGACAACCTGGAAGAAATGGACAAATTCCTGGACACCCACACACTACCAAAACTCAAACAGGAAGAAGTAGAAAATTTGAACAAACCCATAACTAGTGAAGAAATTGAATCAGTTGTCAAAAAATCTCCCAACAAATAAGAGTCCTGGGCCAGATGGCTTCCCAGGGAAGTTCTACCAGACATTTATAACAGAGTTAATACCTACCCTTCTCAAGCTTCTCTTCCAAAAAATAGAAACAGAAGGAAAGCTACTGGACTCATTCTATGAATCCAGCATTGCCTTGATTCCCAAACTAGACAGAGACCCCACAAAAAAGAGAATTACAGGCCAATATCCCTGATGAACATGGATGCAAAACTTTTCAACAAGGTACTAGCATACCACCATGATCAAGTGGGATTCATTCCTGGGCTGCAGGGCTAGTTCAATATTTGCAAATCAATCAATGTAATACATCATATTAATAAAAGAAAGGATAAGAACCATATCCTGTCAATAGATGCAAAAAAAAAAAAGCATTTGATAAAGTACAGCTTCCTTAATAAAAACCCTCAAGAAAGTCAGGATAAAGGAACATACCTAAACATCATAAAAACCATTTATGAAAAGCTCACAGCTAATATCATCCTTCATGGGAAAAACTGAGAGCTTTCCCCTGAGATCAGGAATACTGCAGGGATGTCCACTCTCACCACTATTGTTTGACATAGTGTTGGAAGTCCTAGCATCAGCAATCTGACAACAAAATGAAATAACAGGAATCCAAATTGGCAAAGAATAAGTCAAATTTTCACTTTTTGCAGACGACATGATACTCTGCATGGAAAACCCAAAGACTCCACCAAAAAGCTGGTAGAACCGATACATGAATTCAGCAAATTTGCAGGATACAAAATCAATGTACAGAAATTGGTTGCCTTTCTATACACCAATAATGAAGCAACAGAAAGAGAAATAAAGAAACTGATCCCATTCACAATTGCACCAAGAACCATAAAATACCTACGAATAAAGCTAACCAAAGATGTGAAAGATCTGTATGCTGAAAACTATAGAAAACTTATGAAGGAAATTGAAGAAGACACAAAGAAATGAAAAAAACATTCCATGCTCATGGATTGGAAGAGTAAATATTGTTAAAATGTCAATACTACCCAAAGCAGTCTACACATTCAGTGCAATCCAAATCACAATTGCACTAGCATTCTTCTTAAGGCTGAAAAAACAATTCTAAAATTTGTATGGAACCATAAAAGACCCCGAATAGCCAAACTGATGTTGAAAAAGAAAACCAAAGTGGCAGGTATCACGATCCCAGACTTTAGCCTCTACTACAAAGCTGTAGTCATCAAGACAGTGTGGTATTGGCACAAAAGCAGACACAAAGACCAGAGAATCCAGAATTTGACCCACAAATGTATAGCCAACTAATCTTTAACAAAGCAGGAAAGAGTATCCAATGCAAAAAACACAGCCTCTTTAACAAATGGTGCTGGGAGAACTGGACAGCAACATGCAGAAGAATGAAACTAGACCACTTTCTTACACCATACACAAAAATAAACTCAAAATGGATGAAAGACCTAAAGGTGAGACAGGAAACCATAAAAACCCTAGGGGAGAAAACAGGCAACAACCTCTTTGACCTCAACCGCAGCGATTTCTTGCTCGACACATCTCCAAAGACAAGGGAATTAAAAGCAAAAATGAACTATTGGGACCTCATCAAAATAAAAAGCTTCTGCATTGCAAAGTAAACAATCAATAATACTAAAAAGTAACCAACAGAATGGGAAAAGATATTTGCAGGTGACATATCAGATAAAGGGTTAGTATGCAAAATTTTCAACACCTGAAAAACATAATCTAGTGAAGAAATGGGCAGAAGACATGAATAGACACTTTTCCAAAGAAGACATCCAGATGGCCAATAGACACATGAAAAGATGCTCAGCGTCGCTCCTCATCAGGGAAATACAAATCAAAACCACACTGAGATACCAGTCAGAGTGGCCAAAATGAACCAATCAGGAAACAACAGATGCTGGCAAGGATGTGGAAAAATGGGAACCCTCTTGCACTGCTGGTGGGAATGCAAACTGGTGCAGCCACTCTGGAGAAGTGTGGGGGTTCCTCAAAAAATTAAAAATAGGACTATCCTACGATCCAGCAATAGCACTACTTGGAATTTATCCAAAGGATAGAGAAGTGCTGATTCATAGGGGCACATTAACTCCAATGTTTATGGCAGCACTTTCAGCAATAGCCAAATTATGGAAAGAGCCTAAATGTCCATCAACTGATGAATAGATAAAGAAGATGTGGCTTATATATACAATGGAATACTACTTGGCAATGAGAAAGAATGAAATCCTGCCATTTGCAGCAAGGTGGATGGAACTGGAGGACATTATGCTAAGTGAAGTAAGTAAGTCAGTCAGAGAGACAAATATCATGTTTTCACTCATATGGAACTCGTGAAACTTAACAGAAGACCATGGGGGAAGGAAGGGGAAAAAATAGTTACAAACAGGGAGTGAGGCAAACCATATGATACTCTTAAATACAAGGAACAAACTGAAGGTTGATGGGAGAGGTAGGGGAGAGGGGAAAATGGGTTGTGGG